GAGAGAGAGAGAGAGAGAGAGAGAGAGAGAGAGAGTGTATGAGAGAGAGAGAAGAGAGAGAGAGAGAGAGAAAGAGAGAGAGAGAGATAAATAGAGAGAGAGAGAGAGAGAGAGAGAGAGAGAGAGAGAGAGAGAGAGAGAGAGAGAGAGAGAGAGAGAGAGAGAAAAGATAGAGAGAGAGAAAGAGAGAGATAATCATGACGCAGCCAAACCCTGCAGACGAGAGCACAATGCGAGATAGAACAGGGTTGCAAAGTCCAGAATTAGTGGCCTTTCTCATCCTTTACTGATAGCGGACATCCTCTTCTGCCAGTGTTTAAAACTTTTACCGCCTACCTACTGCTAATTGTCACCAAACATTTTCTGAGCAAGTTATCAACCACAGCGAAGTTCGGAGGGGAAAAAATCGGGTGTCTAGAGCACAAGTCGAGGGGAGAGGATCCAGCCTCGTACTCATGTTTGAAAGAAAAAGAAAAGAAAAGGGAAAAAAAAGAAAAGAAAAAGAAGAAAAAAAAAATACTATTAAAAAAGCAACTTCACTTTGACACTGCCTGTGAAGAGGGTGATGTCCAGGTTGCGAAATGAAGTCAAATACTCGAGGTCTACTTTGAACGTTGAATCTGCGTATGGTGGCTCGATATAACGAAAATAACGAAAGGGACAAAGGATCGTGCGATAACGTCTAAGACAAAGAGTCGAGAGGAACACCGAAGGATAAACATACTGAAGAGAGGTTCCTAGAGGGAAGCATACATGGAAGGCGTGAAATGAGTATGAGAAAGTGCTTGTCTGGGATCACTGATATCAAGGAACAGGCGAATATAAGGGAGAAAAAATGAATTACAAAAAAACAACAACAATAAAAAAAAGAGCTGGAAGAAAATAACTAAATAAATAAATCATTGGGAAAATAGCTCGAATGCTTGTAATGGCATTTAATCACATTTAGTACAGATGCCTAACGTCATGAACAATAATTAATTAATAGAAACATATATTTCCTTTTTTTTGTCAATTCAGCACTCGCACACCTGCATATATATATATATATATATATATATATATATATATATATATATATATATATATATATATATATATATATATATATATATACATACATATATATATATATATATATATATATATATATATATATATATATATATATATATATATATATATATATATATATATATATATATATATATATATATATATATATATATACATATATATATATATATATATATATATATATATATATATATATATTATATATATATATATATATATATATATATATATATATATATATATATATATATATATATATATATATATATATATATATATATATATATATATATATATATATATATATATATATATATATATATATATATATATATATATATATATATATATATATATGTGTGTGTGTGTGTGTGTGTGTGTGTGTATATGTATATATATATATATTATATATATATATATATATATATATATATAATATATATATATATATATATATATATATATATATATATATATACGCGAAATGGGTATCAGATACTCGAATGGTACAATTAAATTATTTTCAGTTAAACCCGTCTGTTTGTTTTTGTCTCTTTTAGGTGTCTTTGAAGTTTCGGCGTATTTTTTGCTGTCACATTTGTTTTGAATTATAGGCGTGTTTTTCCTCATGGGTTACACATGAAAAAGCGTTGAAATAAGGAGCTGTAGAAAATAAAGTGAATTTTATGATGTTTGGGGAGATTTGAGCATCGGCATCTCCGTTGCCAGGCGTAGGAATAAGGAGCACCTAGAAACAACAGCCCCTACTGTACGTAATGTAAATTTAATTTTTCTCCCTCCCTCCTTCATTTTTCTTCCTTCTTCCTAATCTATATCTCCCTCCTCTTACTCCTCATTATTTCTCCCTCCCTCCTTCCCTCTCTCCCCATTCCTTCTCCTTCCCCTACCTCTACCTCTCTCCCTCATCCCCTACCCCTCCTTCCCTCCCTCCTTCCCCTACACCCCTCCTTCCCTTCCTCCGTCTCCTACCCCTCCCTACCTCCCTTCTCCCTCCTACTCCTCCCTTCCCACTCCTACCCGTCCCTCCTTCCTTCCCGCTCCCTTCTTACTCCTTCTGAAATATTTTTTACTGAAATCACAGTCTGGAGATGAAAGGGCCTGCAGGCACAGAGAGCAAGCTGACATGGACATGGCCGCCGTTCCTACTCCTGTGGTATATAATAAGGTGTAGACCGCTGCAGGAAGGACGCTGACCACCAGGTGCCGGATAAGCTTACGATGGTAACTTTTTTTGGTTACTGCAATTACTATTGTAAACAGACAGCGGCGGTATTCACGAACAACTTGCCACCGGAGTTACCAAGGTGAGTTTTACCAGTGGTCGGAGCTCTTCTAGGGAGACGATGTTATCACGTGTTATCTCGTCCAAAAAATCAATATTCAATTTGTTTTTATATTTGATAAAATTAGTCTGGTGGCAAACGCATATCACAATATGGACATATCGCAGAAATGCAAATTCCACATGAAACTAGCAAGAAAAAAATCCACAAAAAAGACTCGTACAATTATTAGACTGTAGAATGCATGGAATGAATAGATAAGTGAACTCTTAAAGAATTCTTCTTGTCTGACACAATTATTACAAATTCTTTAAAAATTCTATAGAAACAATTACTTCACTGATATATAAACTGGCAATGCGAGCATTAAACAAGTGTAGAAATTTCTGTCTGTCGGCATTTTGACAACAGACTCCATAACACATGAGCAAGAATGATCTTGAAATATTTCCTTTATTTGACGATAGATGGCGATAGATAAAATTGTGTTGGTCCGGTTCTTTGTTTAATTATGAAAATTAGATAAATAAAAACCATTTGGACTGTCTCTTTGCTTTGTGGTAGACAATATATTGATAAAGCAATATTTGTATTGGTTCCTACTTATACAATAAATAGCCAGGGAATTCTGTTAACATCCAGCATGATGGATATGATTAGATAAATTCATCTATTTTCCCTACACATGCTTAAAGAATGTTTTACCTGTGACACTGATTTTTTAAATCTCGCTGTGTCTAGTCCTATTTACATTATATATTTAAATATAACGTGATTGGCCAAAGGAACCTAGATTATTATGTATGGCGCTCGCTGATTGGTGGAATCGTTTTACTAGAGCCCTCTGTTGGCTACCATTAGAATGAGTCGATTTATGATTGTAACTATTGAAGTTACCAGCTGTTCGTGAATCCAACTTGCGTATCATGAACCGTATTCATGTTGACAAATGTAGAAAGGTATGCATGAGAACGAATATCTAATATAATATTTAACCGGTTTCGATTATATCTTCGTCAGAAATACATGTATATCTGACGAAGATATAATTGAAACCTGTTATATACATCTCTTGTATTGTGAAGATATTCGTTCTCATTCATACCTTTCTACATTGCGTATCATGGTTTATACATTAATCCAAGAGTTATTGCAATATGACAGAATTTGATCAATGTTTGATATAATTAGACGTTGTTTGAAACATATTGTAAAAAAGAATAAGAAAAAAAAACAACAATGCAGAATCTTCCATGGTGGCTCGATCTGGCATTTCGCTAATGGAAGATTTTCTCACTCCCTTTTCCCATGATGTGAAACGAAGAGGTACCAGATCGTCCCTAATTTTTGGTATGGTGCTTGGCTCTAAGTGCAGACCAATGTATTTATTTGGCCATGCTAGGTTTTCAATTTTTCGTGGATGTATTTTGGGCATTTTCGTATATCGAAATTCTAGTCGTGTCCTAAGGATGAAAATATGAAACTGGTTTACAAACAAGTTTACTAAGAGCCAAAGAGCGCCCAAGATACCGTTCTCAGTCGGGGATTTCGAAGTCCATGGATACGGATATATATTTACACACAAACACACGCGAGCGTGTTTGTGTGTGTGTGCATATATATATATATATATATATATATATATATATATATATATATATATATATATATATATATATATATATATATATATATATATGTATATATCTATATCTATCTATCTATCTATCTATCTATCTATCTATCTATCTATCTATCTATCTATCTATATCTATATATATATATATATATATATATATGTATATATTATATATATATATATATATATATATATATATATATATATATGTATATATGTATATATATATATATATATTATATATATATATATATATATATATATATATATATCTCTCTCTCTCTCTCTCTCTCTCTCTCTCTCTCTCTCTCTCTATAATATATATATATATATATATATATATATATATATATATATATATATATATATATATATTATATATATATATATATATATATATATATATATATATATATATATATATATATATATATATATATATATATATATATATATATATATATATATATATATATATATATATATATATATATATATATATATATATATATATATATATATATATATATATATAATATATATATATATATATATATATATATATATATATATATAATATATACATAAATAAATGTATATTTATGTGTGAGTGTTTCCCCTCCTATTTGTTTATCCTTTCTATCTTCCTCTTCGCTTTGCGGAATTCTGTCCTTTCGTTTTCGAATTCTTCACGGTTTACCCTCCTTGCCTTTTTCAGCTTTCCAGCCTATGCCCTGTTATTTATTCCTCCCTTGACCTGTTCCCTTATTTCATTTTATTTGTTTATTCATTTTTTGTTTTGTTTTACTCTCTCCCTTTTTTACGTGGCATTTATCTGACCAATTTTTTTCCCCTCACTTTCCATATTTCACGCCGTTTCTCTTTGGTTTTGATGATTCAGCGTATGGTGTCTATTCTTTTCAATCTCTACTGTCCACTCCCTTTCCCCATTTCCATTTGTCTCTTTCTTTTAAGTTCTCTCTCTCTCTCTCTTCTCTCTCTCTCTCTCTCTCTCTCCTCTCTCTCTCTCTCTCTCTCTCTCTCTCTCTCTCTCTCTCTCTCTCTCTCTCTCTCTCTCTCTCTCTCTCTCTCTCTCTCTCTCTCTCTCTCTCTCTCTCTCTCTCTCTCTCTCTCTCTCTCTCACTCTCTGTCTGTCTCTCTCTCTCTCTCTCTCTCTCTCTCTCTCTATCTATCTATCTATCTCTCTGTCTTCTATTTTTTCTATTTTTTGTGATTTTTCATTGTTGATTCGTTTTTGTTTTTTCTCTCTTTCTCTCTCTCTTTTCTTGTTGTATTCTATCTGTTCTTGTTATTCTTGGCGTTTTCTCTTTCTGTTGAAATATATCTGGTACGGAATGTTTTAAATCTTTTCCCATGTTAGATTTTTCCTCCACATTTTCGTTGTTTTTCGTTCTTTTCATTTGATTTCAGTTTATATCGTTTTCTGTCTCCCTTCCTCTCTTCATCTTTAATTTTCTTCTCTCTCTTGCTTCTGCCTCTTCATCGTCATTTCCCCCCTTTTCCCTTCAATATCTAACTTTCCCTTCGTACTTCCTTTTATTCCCTTTATCCTTCTTTTCCATTTTCTCTTATCTCCCTTTCATCCCTTTTTCCTATATCTCCATCTTTCTACCCTTTTTCCTTACCATTTTTTTTTTCTCTTCTTCCCCTTTCTCGTTTTTTTCTTAACTTTCTATCTAATTTCACTTACCATAACCCTTTACTTCCACTCCTTGGTGTGAAATTCCCTGTCATCACCCATTTTCCTTATCTATCTCTATCTATCTCCTTTTTTCACAATTTTTCTTATGTCCTGTCTCCCTTCTTCTGTCTCCTCATCCTTTTTCTTATGTTCTTGTCTCTTTGCTTCGTCTTTAAATCTTTTAGTTAATCGATCCATCTTCTTTCTTTGTTTCTTTCTCTGTCTATCTACTTATCTTATCTCCTTATACTTTCTTTTCCCTCCCATTTATCATCATCTTATTTCCGTTCTCTTGTTTATCGTTTTTTTTTTATCCTTATAGCTCATTGATCATCATCTTATCTCCGTTCTCTTGTTTATCGTTTTTTTCTTTTTTTTTGCTCTATATCTCTATTTCCCCCTTTCAGTTTCTTTTCTCGCCATTCATTTTCTTATCTTCCCATTCTTTTCCTTTTATCCCTGTCCCTTTCCTTATCTCCCCATTCTATGTCTTACCTCCCCATCATTATTCTCATCTCCACATCTTTTTATTTATCTCTTCATCCCCTTTCTTATCTCTTCACATATCTCTTATCTCACCTTCCCTTTTCCTTATCACCCAATCCTTTACCTTATTTTCCCATTCTTTCCGTCATTTGTCTATTCCTTTTCTTATCCCTTCATGCCTTTTCTTATCTCTCTATCCATTTTCTTGTATTTCAATTTAATTTTTTATTTGTCTATTCCCCCCTTACCTCTCCAACCTTTCCCCTATCTCTCTATCCTTTCCCTTACCTCTCCATCCTTTATTCTATCTCGATTTCTATCTACTCTTCTATTCCTCTTCTTATCTCTACATCCCTTTTTATATCAACGCCTTCTCTTATCTTCTCTTATCAAACCATTCTTTATTTCCCTCCCTCTCTTTTTTTTACCTCCCTATCTCTTCTTTTATCTCTCCAGCTCTTTCCTAATCTCCCCATCTCTCTTTTCGTCCTCCCCATCTCTCTTTTCGTCCTCCCTAATCTCCTCATCCTTTTTGTTTCTCATCTCCCCTCCCCTCTTTTCGTCCTCCCATCATCTCTCCTCCCCATCTCTCTCTTCGTCCTCCCCATCTCTCTCTTTCGTCCTCCCCATCTCTCCAACTCTCCTTTCATCCTCCCCATCTTTCTCTTCGTCCTCCATCCCCTCATCTCTCTCTTCGTCCTCCCCATCTCTCTTTCGTCCTCCCCATCTCTCTCTTCGTCCTCCCCATCTCTCTCTTCGTCCTCCCCATCTCTCTCTTCGTCCTCCCCATCTCTCTCTTCGTCCTCCCCATCTCTCTCTTTCGTCCTCCCCATCTCTCTCTCGTCCTCAAATCTCCTTTCATCTTCGTCCTCCCCAGTCTCCGTCAACTCTCCTTTCATCTTCCCCATCTCTCTCTTCGTCCTCCCATCTCTCTCTTCGTCCTCTCCATCTCTCCTTTCGATCTTCCCCATCTCTCTCTTCGTCCTCCCCATCTCTCTCTTCGTCCTCCCCATCCCCTCTTCGTCCTCCCCATCCCCTCTTTTCGTCCTCCCCATGCCCTCTTTTCGCCCAGACTTACCTCCGTACGTGATGGAGTCGACGCCCTCCAGGAGCACTCTGAACTCCGGCGTCATGCGCTCCCCAAGCTGAAAAGGAACAACAAACATTTGTATGTAAATAAGTTTGTCCATCCCCAGGCCGGGCAGCGAGGGGCGTCGAGAGAAAAATATGAATGCATAAACCTTTCCCTTGGACAGAAGGAGGAGGCGGAAGGGCAAGGTGCGGAGCGAGGCGAGGGGCACGCGGGGCAGCGGCGGGGGTCACGTGAGGGGAGAGGGTAGGTGAAAGGTCGGAACAAGGGGAAATGCATGGCGCGGGGAAGGCTCCAAGTGGCTGGCGGGTTTGTTCTGCGCCCACGTTGCCAGACCGTAAACAAGACGGGCGGGGGAACGGAAAGAAAATAGTGTACCTGAGTAAACGAGAGAGAAACAAGAGCGGGAATAATATCCTCGGAGGAGACAAAGCGCAGCGTGTGTTAGGGAGAGGATCGTCCTTGCTGATCAGCGGCGTTATAGGAGAGGTTACTTAACGTTTTATACGGCTAGATGTGACTCCACGATACACATACCTCTAAATCTACATATAGATCGAACCATTAAGTCAGAGTCCGGGCGAAAGCGGAGAATTACAAAGACATAAAGTACGTATACATACTAGGAGGGAAGGCGATTTAAAGACAGGATCGTCTGAATAATTGATAATATTTTTGAGCGCAAATCATATTTTCGTTCCTTGTTTGCCTCTCTTGGCCAAAAGGAAATGAATAACAATGAATAACTCTTGTTGGCACTAGAAGGATACACAGTATGCATAATATCTGCTGCTTCTATGGATTCATCAATATATAATTTACCTCAAACAGAAACCTTTCAGACCTAGGATGGAATTCATCATGCGGATTCTGAACCCCAATGCACATGATGTAAAAATGAATGAAGATATAACACACACACACACACACACACAAAAGGAAAATGATGGAAGAGGGAAGGAAATGCAGTTATCAGGAATACGAAGAAGGCGAAGGAATCAAATGCGAGAAGAGAAATGAACACAGGAAGCGACGGAGACACGAGAGGCAAATGTTCTCCCTCTATCTAAATCCCCGTTGAGGCAGCGCAGGGTAAAGAGCTGGGCTGGGGAGGGGGGGGAGGGGGGGTGCCTGGGGGAGTTTGTAAAGAGGGCCAGGTGGTTGTGGGGGGGGCGGGGGGGGTCGCTCTTACACTGGCGGGTCCTTGATTACTCGCTATTACACAGTCCCCTTCGCCAGCCACCTGATGCACGTACACATAACCCATTACACATATTTGTACATGAATGCACACTCTCAAAGCCACCCCCTGTGTACTTCATATATCACATACATGCGGAGCATTCACTCACATTCATATTTACAAATCAAACAGATGTTTGTCTATTGGAAATGCAAGTAAATGATTACATACACACAGACATTTACATGCATATATATATATATATATATATATATATATATATATATATATATATATATATATATATATATATATATATATATATATATATATAT